GCTTAGGTCCTTATGCATGTAGGGTAAACATTTCACTAACTGAGCTATCTCCTCAGCCCCCTTTGACCCTTATGGGATACCTGGAGTAGGAGCTCATTGTTAAACAAATATGCCCTTAACATTTAAGTTGAGAGATGTTGTAGTTTTCCAAAATGATCTGGAACTTTATATGCCATACTAGTTTTATGTAACTTTGTTACACCAGATAGAACAGGCTTGAGGGAGGAAGGATTTATTTCAGCTTTACAGCTCTGGAGATAATCAGTCCATTGTGCCAGTAAAGGCATGGTAGCCAGGGCAGCTCCAGCCATCATTTTGAGCTTGGAGAATAGCTTGTTCACATATTGGTGAAGTTAGGAAGTAAGGAGCTCTTGACAAGAACTGTTTAGGCAGGTACAACTTCAAGTTTTACTAATGTGACCTGCCCACCAGCTAGCTTCAAAGCTTCCTAACTTCCTAAAAAAAATGCCATTTGCTGGGGACCACTTATTTTACAACACATGAGTCTGTGAGAGACATTTTGCATTCAGTGTGTACTGTAGAGCAGCACTTCAATAAAGGAAGTATCTAGATGTACCTTAAATAATAATTTGAAACATTAGAAGGCAAATATCACTCATGCACCTAGTTCATTTATTTGATAGCTGCTGCTTGAATAAAATTAAAGGATAAAATTCTCATATTACAGGCAGTTAGTTATGCAATACTCCTTATAATACTCAGCCCTTTTCATCTTCAAAGCATTATAACAACATTAATTAATGCTTACAACATCCTTGCAAATGTAGGTCAATATCATTATCCCTGTTTTTGCATGTGGGGAAATTGAGGCAGAGAGGTTAAATGATATGGGTAAATTTGTCACAGCAGGATTAGAATAAAGGAATTTTTGGCTCAGAGCCCAGAAGTCAGAATAGTGGAGTCACACATTTTTGTAGCAGGCTTAATTTCTGTGTCCTTGATAAAACATGATTTCTCATTAATAATATTGAGATCATTTCTGCATTCAAATCAAGTTTGATCACCCCCACATGCACATCATTTTCTCTTCCATAGCTTTCCTGATCCATTATTAATTAAACTAATTTTTCCATGATCATCTTGTAAGATAATTTTTCAAATGTCTATCTCAACTCTATTTTTCTTCAGGGATTTTTCTTCAGGGATTTCATTCAGTGACTCACTTTCCATTTTGAAAATTTCAAGTAGTTTTTATAATTCTTTATTTTTCCCTAGCTGGGCAAACATATATACCCAGATGACTCTCCTTTGCCTCAATCTTCCATTGTGTCTAGAATCCCACTTTTTTTTTTAAACATTGGCACATTTTACTCCCCTAAACTATCCTTTGCTGTGATGTTTTGATCCAACTCCTGCTCATGAGGATAAGACAATGGGAAGTAGTCTGGGTAGAGGGTTTCTGGGAACCAAGTGTGGCTAAGAATAGTATGCACTAGTCCTTTTCTGTGGTGAAACAAGCAAAGTTACATGCTGATGGGAAGACTAAAGGATAACAAGACGTCAACTAGTGAGGTCAGTAGTTAAGAAAACTCAAGTGTGTGGGTTGAGTAGTAGAACCAGTCACTACGATGGTTGAATGGTTTTGGGCCCTTTTTGTTGGGCTTGGGATGAGGAGGCAAGCCATCAGCGCCCATTTGCTATTGTCTTTCTTGCAAGATCACTGAGTCATTTCTCTCTCTCCCTCCACCCCTGTCCCTCCTTCCCTTTCTTCCTCCTATCCACCTCTCTACCACATTGCAACTACCACATTTCTAATTCAAGTGCTTGCTATCTGCGACTTCAGTTACCTTTCTAACAGATCTCTTACCTATCAAAACTTCCTCTATTTTTCATGTTTGCTATTCCTTTGGGTAATCTTGCAATAATTATAACCTGAAACATTTTCTTTATTTTACTATTCAGCCATTGTTTAGTAAACATGGGTCCAAATTCTTGAAATTTGACATTCAAAGACATCCTTTGGCCCTCATTTCTCTCTGCTACCTGCTCACTAAATCAATAGTGTAAGAATAAAATTAAATAAGCTTATATTTTTCTAGTTATTTTATTTTATTTTATTTTATTTTATTTTATGTGCATTGGTGTTTTGCCATGAGTGTCAGGTCCCCTGGAACTGGAGTCACAGAAGCTGTGAGCTGCCATGTAGGTGCTGGGAATTGAACCCAGGTCCTCTGGAAGAGAAGCAGTCAGTGCTCTTAACCCCTGAAGGCCATCTCTCCAACCTCCGTATTTTTCTATTTCTTTATGTGTTGTTTTTTTTCTTCATTGTTTTTTTAGTCTCTGTCTCCCTCATGCAAAATCTACCAATCCTCAAGTATTTTATATGTTCATTTTTTTAGTTAGGTATGGTGGTGAACTCTGTACTCAGGAGGCAGAAGCAGGTAGACTTCTGTGAGTTCAAGCTGCATAGTGAGACCCTGTCTCCAAAATAATAATAACAGCAACAACAATAATAATTTCTTTACCAAACTGTACCATCTGCTGGGCACCTGGAGGCCTTAGTTTATTTTTCTAAAATAGTATGCATTGCAGATTTCATATTCCATGGTTGTTTTATCTGCTATGCTATACTATTTGATAGTTGAGGCCCTGCTATAAATCTTTGTATCAGAGACTTATGGTAAAACAATATACATATAAGATAATTTAAGTGCTTCTTATAGTCAGTTATATTTAGATACATTAAGCCTCTGTGATCACAAATGAGCCATTGTCCCTAGTAGTCCAGTGCAGTAAATTTAGTCCAAGTTTTAGGTCTCATTATTTTGAGATTCCCCTGTCCTTTTGCATAAAATTTTGCTTGTTTGGTCCATTGTTGAAAGTTTCTGGAAAAAAATCTTTATTTGTAACAATATGTCTTTGATCAAATGTGTTCATGAATATACCTAACAGGTGTTTAATGGTACTGTGTGTTAATGATATTAGAAAGTAATTGTAGGTTAATACACTGAATTTTATGTAATTGAAAAGTAATTATGATTCTAACATGTATTGAACCAGTGGTTTATGTAAATTTATACTATTTAGTTATCTTTCTTTTTTTTAACATTTTTAGTTAGACTCCTCAAGGAAATATATGATAATAAGTAGCAAGTATATGTTCCACACTTATGACCAAAAACGATTCCCTCAGGCTCTATGCAGTGTTCTGCTACCATACATTCATTTTAAATGTCTTGTTGGCGCCATGGTGTCCTAGCACTGCCTTTTCTTGCTTCATTAGTTTTCTGCTATCATATTTTACATTAGAGTTTTATTTGCCCTTAAGCTTCCTTTCCTCCCTATAGCAGTTGAAATAGCTGGCTTCAGAAGACAGGCAACTACAGACCTAACTACTTTGGCAGAAGACAAACATTTTGCATTTTATTAAGTGATAATTAATCTTTACTTCTCGAACATATATTTGTTTTCCAAAAGAATGTTATCAGCAGTATGCTACTGGAATGATTTCTATTTTGCATGTTACTGCAGAAAGGAGTCATGTAACTGAAATGGAACAAAGTGATGGAAAGCCTATCCTTAAACACAGAACCTTTTGAGGATCAAATCGAAAACAAAAGGGTTTCCTTATCTCCCTTTCCTCAAAATCTTCACTCTCACAGATTTTTCCTTATACAGAATGACATTTTAAATTTATGTCAGGCTTAATTTAAATCATACTGTTTATCTAGTCATGAAGACTGGATGTTTGGATTACAAAATGGTCTTCTGAGACAACTGAAACTGACATAAATTACCTTATATAATTAAAAAACAGAACATTAAAGTTAAAGATAGTTAAAGATGAGCGAGATTTTAAATTATGGTTGTCATTTTATTTATTGTTTCATTTCTTGCATTATTGTTTTCAAGACCCTGTAGTTTTGCTCTGCATAGTGACCTTTGTTCTAGTCCTGGGTCATCTAGAGACAGACATAAGGGCACTAATGGACTAGTGTTTCTCAGCTCAGGAACCTCTGTTTGACTCGTCTTTCAGTTCCTGCCCATACCTTCTTCCCCAAGTGCAACATCCAGAGTGTTTCTGAAATTCTTTTCTTTCCTACTTCAAAACAGCTATTTCTGCACTAATACAATATTTGGATGGAACAAGCTCAGTCTTGATTACTTCCTCCAGGCAGATTTTTCATACCAGGAAATTACCAACATTCCTTTTCACTGGTGACATTCTTGAGTAAGATGCAAGATGTTTCCAAAGTGTTTTAAAAACCTGTACAGTTTTAAAGATGGTAAGGCATCTTGGAGGTTAAAAAGGAGATACTGGTTTGGTCTCTTTCTTCCGTCTAATTAGCATTGTAGATTTTACTGGTCATTTTATTATTCTATTATTTACTCTTCACATTTTTATATTTTCCTCCCAGATAGTTGAAGTTCAAGAAAAAAGGGTGAATAAGAATTGACTGTTTCTCCACCTATCTCCATTAATGCAAAATTCTCTCTTTAATTGCTTATGTTGGGTAATTCACAGGATTGTGCTGTATGTCTATGAGCAAGTCCAATCATGACCTCACTGGCCATTTTCTTTTTATCTGCTTCACTCATGTGTGATTCAGATTCTTGTTACATCCTTTTCCAAATGCTGTGGGTCCCTCCTTGACCCTCACATCTCTTTTTGCCAGGCACAGGTCCTGGTCTGTCTTGGTTGCCCCACTTTCTCTAAGTCCATCAATGCGGTGGCTGCTGTGCTGCTTACTTCAGGCTAGACACCAGTTCCTGCAGCAGCACATTTTACCAGTCCTTCACTCTCGTTACATCTTGATATGAATCTGGGGGTGCTGAACTGTCCTGACCTTCAAGCTGTCTCCTGTGGGAGATGCAAAGGATGGACTTGTATGTCCTTGACATCTTAAACTCTCCACCAAGCTCATTTCACCCAATATCACAATGTCCCAGTGTTCCAGGGCTTCCATATTAAAATAGATACATAGGTAACACATGTGTACTGCTACTAAAAATGATTTTACCCTCCTATTTGTTACCAGGACAAAGTTTGGCAAGTTTATTTCCTTGAATTGACTAAAAACAGGATTTCAAGTGTTGTCGCCTTTTAGTATGTAAGTAAAGTGTACTCCTTAATCTGTAAACTTTTATCTGTAATAACTCATAGTCTTTATGCAACTATAATCAGCTTAACCAGCCTTGTCTCCTCCCACATTGCCACAAATTATTGCTATTGGTGTCTGAATCAACTCTAAGTTGAGGAATAGGATTTTTTATTTTGTATTGTAGTCTAGAGTTGGTGACTTTAGATACAGTGTCAGAGAACAGATGCACCTGTTTCATCACATCCTTGTTTAAAACAATGGAATGTCAACACGTTTGTGTATCCTATTTCAAATGTCTTCTTTTGTGTGTGACCTTCTTCATATAAGGATGTTTTTCTTCATAAACCACCTACTTCACTTAGTACTTAACTCATTAAGTCATCCATATGCAGGAGAGAAGAACTTCTAGTTATAACAGGGTAGATACAGAGGTCGAGGTGTCCTTTATTTCATCTACTGCATTTGAAGACATTTTGATGCAAGAAGAAAATACATTTAGAATCAGTCCAAAAATTAACATTATAGCCTGATTCCTTCTTACCCTTTGCTTATTTGACTTGCTTTCTCCCTCCTTCCCTCCCTTCCTGTGTGTATTGTGTATGTGCATGCATGTGTGTGGGTGTATGGGCCTGTGCATTCCCATGCATAAGCCTGAGAAGGACCCTGAGTGCTTCTCTGTTCTTCTTTGGGAGACTCATTGCCTTGGGAGAGGGGCTGTCAATGAATTAGAAGCTCACCATTTGGCCAGATAGCTAGCCAGTGAGCTCTTGGAATCTGCCTATCTCCATTCTCCAATGTTGGGAATAAAGGCATGTACAATTGTTCTTGGCTTTTTGTGTGGGTGCTGTGGATTCATACTTATCTGTCATTTTTTTAACCTTTCCACCTGTATCTACCATTGTCTTTTGGAGAATGCCATCCTTTTCATCAAATTACAATATGTACTTCTGTACATATGTACTTCTGTATACAGCAGAGTGCTGGGGCAGCCATCAGCGCCTCTGGAGCTAGCCTGTATGAATTTAAAGCTTGCCTTCACCAGCAGATGACTATGTGACCTCAGTTCCACAGTGTAGTACTGGTATTGTCACAAATAACTGGGAGGATAGAATAAGTATATTATATTTATATGTTAAAATATAAATGTTTAGAACAAATGTTTAGTGTTATCTACCACCACTACCACCTCTATCATCATTAAACTGTTGAGATCCTGTGTTTCTTTGAAGACTCATGGGACATTTCACAACTTCTCTGATGCTTTCTCAGAGTTCTGCTGTTCAGACAGAATTGGGCCCCTCTTTTTAAAATTTTTTTAAAGATTTTATTTATTTATTATGTATACAACATGCTGCTTCCATGTATATTTGCACACCAGAAGAGGGCACCAGATCTCATAATGGTAATATGTTAATTTATTAATGTGTATGTGGTTGCTGGGAATTGAACTCAGGACCTGTGGAAGAGCAGTCAGTGCTCTTAGCCTCTGAGCCATCTCTCCAGCCCGGGCCCCTCTTTTAAATTACCAAATTTTCCACTTTTCTTCTTCAGCCATGGCACACTTTGTCTCCTTAGCAGAACATAAGTGTTTCTTTATGATTGTAATTATATCCTGGTTCTGTAAAGGTGAGGTGAGGGCAAGGGAAGTTTTTATTATGCCTGAAATTACTTTGGATTATGACCCATGAATAATGTGGGAAATATTTTAGCCACTCCTAATGTCTAAGAAGCAGAAGGGTCTTTACCTCTATTAAAAGCTGTCTTAAAATATTTCTGAAGCTTATTTTGTTTTCCAGAAGTTCATTGAAAAGAACATTTATTTCTTTTACAGTTTCTATAATGTGCTTAGTTTAAATCATTAGATGTGTTTCTTAAATGTGATAATAGTATATGTCTAGTATGCTATATGAATTTCTTTGCAAACATTTGAAAGTTAAATATAAACTTATTTTAAATATTTGTAAAATGAGAATTTTAGAGTTTGACTGGTTTTCTCCCAGTCAGTCCAAATTAATGAAGTCCTATGTGATTTTCTTTTAAGCATCAATGGTCTATGTTACTAGTCCCTGCTGTTAAAATAGGAGGAAATCCAGGATGTATATTTTAACTTTCTTGATTTTAAAAATGTGTTTTGTTTGTCTATCATAATGTGCAGATTAACACATCATCTGAAAAGTATTGTAGTTTTATAGTTTTATTTTAAGTAACTGCACCTCATATGATATTAACTATATGCCATTTACTCTGCACATTCTACTGAAACCTGTTTATATGTGGGGTATCTAAAATATTTGCTTATATACAAAAATGTGTTTGTAGTTAATAACTTCCTAACAGACTAACTTTTTCTAAAATTATGACTTAGAAGAAATACTAAATATTTCTAAGTATACTTAGACATACTAAATAATTCTAAGTATACTTAGAGCTGTAACCAAACATATGTTATTGAAGACCCAAATATAGATAGTCTCCTTACCATATTTCTCAATGTGGTGACATAGTAAATTCAGGAAAAGAAATCTAGTTTTCTTTTTCTAGAGCTTACTTCTGGATGGTTAACCAAATACATGAAAGTGTTTAATCTAATGGACCATCTAATCTCAGCTATTAGTTGTTTGTTTGTTTGTTTTTTAAATAAGGGGGTTTAGATTGTGTATGGCAATGAGAAATAATTGATCAATACCACTTTTTTTCTTAGTTACTTTGAACAGGACAGAGATTCCTCTGCCATCAGATGTCTTTCTGCTTGACTGAACTACACCTGTGGTCCCTGAAAAGTACCTTGCACATTGCGGGTGAGTGAGCTCTGGATCAGTGTCAGGGCTCTTCAGTCTCTTATGCACTGATCAGTGAGTACTGACAAAGTTAGGCCTGGATTTGGCAGATAGAATTGCATCTCTCTCTCTCTCTCTCTCTCTCTCTCTCTCTCTCTCTCTCTCTCTGTGTGTGTGTGTGTGTCTCTCTCTCTCTCTCTCCCTCTCCCTCCCTCCCTCCCTCTCTCTCTCTTTCAGCCTTAATGAAAACTGGGTGGTTAAAAAAATTCTTTTAGATACTCTTATTAACTTACTTTTGGATTGAATTATGAAATTAATTTTACTAGTTTAATAGCTCTTCTTTCTCAGATACATACATCTTCAATTTTTTTATTAAGCTTGTTCAACTGCTACATACATTTTTGCAGACTAGCTCATGAAAAGGCATTTCTGTTTGATATTAAAAACCATTTCAAACATGTAGCTGAGATGTACAATTATTTCTGTTCTTTGTGCTTTGTATTTCTTGAATGGAAATAATATAACTATGTTAATTTATTAATATTATAGGATAAATATATTTCATTAGAAAACAACTTATAAATGTTTTTCTACTTAAATTATCCAGACTAACTTTTATATTTGGAAATACATTTTTACTTACATTACTTTTATATCTTTATCAAGAAAATGGTTTACCTTGCACAGTACTGTTTCTTAATATTGAACATACAATAACAAATGATTGCCATGTTTTCATTTATTTTTCCTTGAAATATATTGAGATGGAATTTCTGGTTTAAGGTTTGTCTCATATTTGTTTCCTCCCAAAACTCTTAAAATAAGATAACTAAATTAAAATACAGATACATAAATACACAAAATCTTGAGATTAGGAAAAGGACTCTTTCAGTTGGACAGGTTTCTTTTTTGTTTTGTTTTTGAAATAGAAGACATGAAGGAATTAACAGAGCTAAAAATCTCAGTATTATTTGCCTACAGAAAAGAATCCAACTGACAGCCCATTTGTTTCTTAAACCTCAGATAGGCAGAAACCTGAGGAGCATGTATTGCGGAAGATGGGGATGTGGCCCCAGGGTGACAACAAAGGGAATTCATGTCTGCATAAAATAATGAGACACCTCCATGATGTGGAAATATTTAATTAAGGAGGCTCTAAACTCCAGGACACCAGAGCTCAGGAAGAAGACAGGCTAAACTGCAAATGGAGGAAATTGAAGCTGCCATGCGGATGTATAAGGTCCTTTTAACCCATGTGCAACTGAGACTGCCTGCTCACTTTTGGGTATTTGCTAAGAAGTGGCTTGAGAATAGAATCCTTTCCTGGGGTATCTACACCCACCCTGATGTTTTAGGGGTCTTCCCTGGCTGGTCAGTGAAACCCTATTCAGGTATGGGAACTTGAGTCGATTTCTAGAACCTTGCTTGTCAGCGAGCTCAGCAGCCATTATCTATGTTAGTATTTTCTACAGGGAAGAAGACAGGCAACAAAAAGCCAGTAGGAGAAGGAATTCTGGAAAAACTAAGATTATGTAGGAAGGGAAGAGAAAAACCACAAACCTAAGGGAAGAGCTGAATACATGAAGCAAAAAGCCAGATAGATACAAGAAGCTTTAGAAAACAATGGTGTTAAACTGATCTTGAAAATTGAAAGTATATCACAAGAAAAAAAATAGTGAAAAGTGAAAAAATCACCTCAGAAAATAATTTTCTTCTTTTCATATCTGTGTTTCTTCTCAGACAGAATGATTCTCATTGCTTTCATGTCTTTAATTAACCAGTCAATCACTCCTAGATACCAGTTTAGCATTTCTGTGTCCCCGTTCTCCTACGTGGATATCCTTCCTACTCCATGTGGTCCTGGGCACAAGTTAGATGATGTCCATGTCTTGCTTATCTTGTTTCTAATACTCCACAGCAAGCCATTATGCCCTATGTATGTACTTTGTACCTGCAGGGTTTCTAGTGTACTGTATTATCTGAATACTGTATTTTAGCTGGGTGGACACTTTCCTCACCCAGCTCTGGTACTTCTTGGTCAGGTCTTCTATGTAGATGCCGTTGTCCTACTTACATTTAGTCCACTCAGCCACATACAGAAAGGTCAGATCTGTGCACAGAATTCAGGGTCCCTTATGATCTTCCTAGCTCTATTCTAGAGTTGTCAATATATTGTTATATGGAATGATGTTTTAATTATAAACTGGAATGTTTTAATAGGAGATACCGCTTTCATATATAATGCCCATGCTTCTTAGCTCATAGCTTTAAATAACAAGAAACTTTTAAAATTGAAGTGTAACATATGTACTGGAAAGTATACAGATTGTAAGCTATCAAAAAGTGAACACATTCGTGAAATCACTACTCAGCTTAACAAAATATTGTCAGTGCTCAAGGGGCCACAGTCTCCCAGTCAGTCTTTAGTAGATATTTTCCATTTAAATGACAGACATCCAATTACATTCTTTAAAATCATGTCTTAATTTCATGATGAATAAAATATAGATTTAGTATGAGTATTGAATATATGAGTATATAGTATATGAATGCATGAGTATTGAGTATACTCATATATATTGTATGAGTATATCAAGTATACATGATTCATTGTTATATATTTGCAGACTCAATTATAGCAGTTTTACTTGTGTTTTGCCTTTGGTTTTGCCAATCAGTTTGATGCAGTTTGGAGGCAGTCAGTCACTAGGGGGCAGCCTGCACTGCTTCCACTTCATGAGAGACAGTTGTAGCCTCCTTATGCTAGTAACTGAGAATTATTTTTGCATGGAAGAAAACAAGTGTTACTTCAATAAAAGAGATATTTCATTATTCATAGACATGGAAAAATTATTCCGTTCTCTTGTTTAAATTGCAAGAACAGAATCCCTTGGTTAAATCAATCCCAACATCTGCGAAGCCTCACTTGTCTCTTACCTAGCCCAGCAGAGCATCTGAATTTGAATAGGTTTGGAAGCCTTTTGACTCTAAACAAGTTTCAGATAATAATTTATCCACAGCTCCCGGTAATCCCCCCTTTCTTCTTGCAGATTTCCTCCCAAATGCTATAGGATGGGAACTAGACTTCTGAGCTAAATTGGAGAAAAGCAAGCCACAGCTCGGAATCCAACAGCTAGGGCATTTTCTTCCATCCACTGACTTCATTTGGCATTGCTTAGTGGCAGTTCCTTTTGGTAGCGCCCTGTGAAAAATATCAGAGGAAGTGTGAAAGAGAAAACTTGGTCTTCCTTGATTCAGTTCTTTACTAATCTTTCCCCCATGCCATTCTAGTTCTGTATGTTTCCTTATGCCATTCTGATTTTCTCATTAGATCGATAAACTTTCCAGTTTCTGCATATCCCTAGAATAGATGAACCCATGTCCAGATGCTTTTGAGCTATTTTATTTCTAGTAACATAAGGAGACTGTTTCTGCTCCCATCCCCACAATTCCCTCTGATATAGTATGATTTGGCTTCTTATTCTCAGAACTTTTTTTTATCATAATTTAATGTTATTTCTTTCTTTCTATAGATAGAGACATCGGCGTCTACCAGTACTATGACAAGAAAGATCCACCAGGTAAAGTACTCACCTATTCTATTTAACTGCTTTTATAAATGAAATATTCCGAGCAATGAAGTAGCAACATTAAAAGCTCTGTGTTTATGGCTTTAGATACATTCTAAACTTTTAAGAGAAGTCACTTCAGGTTTTTTATGGAGAAAAATACTAAGGTTGGTATCTATTTTAATCTATCAAAAATAAAGTAATACTGAGAAAATGTTGTAGAATAACGTGAAAATGTTCATTCTGATGCCGATCAGGCTGATAACAGGACAGTCTAGTCACATTTATTTATTGGTGTCCCAGCAGAGGGCATTGTTAATACACTGGTCCTCGTGATGCTGGCCTCCTGGATCCTCACCTGATATCTGAAATAGACATTTCTGAGTGAATGATCAATTTTCTTTATCTGATTAATCCTGTTAATCCCAGAAGTTTTATGATGGGCCGAAAGGTCTCCTTAGCTAGAGTTACTTCCTGTTCTGGTCTTCGCTGAAGTGGGGGCTGTGTGAGCATCCTTTGCTTAGCATGGCGGTTAATAGGCTGACTCCGGAGCTCTGATGACAGACTGCAGCAGCTTCTCTTCTGGGCTCGGTTGCAGTTCCCTTTCCTGTCTGATGAGATCGGAAGCTCAGAATATTGGCCCACCTGTTGTGCTGTATAAGCCTTTTCACTGTGCATTAAGGAAATGGCTTCTATGACACACAAACACACTTTGTGACATTCTCTCTCAGCTGTCCTTTTTATAGCTTAGCATCATGTATTATTCCCAGTGTCTGCAGCAATCTATTGTATGTGCCCACTAAAAATATAAGATACTTTTATAAAAGCAAATTCCACTTTTCTTCTTTTCATCTCTCCTTTGCCACAGTGTCAGCAACAGAGCATGGTAACTTAGAAGAAAAGCAAAGGCTGGCAGAGTGTAAGTCCACCTTATATATTTTTAAATTATTATGAAAATAGTGTTAGTTCCAAGTTAACTATTTCCTGTACAGATTATAAATGTTATTTTTGCCCACATTTCTTATAATTACTAATTCCTATTGTTTATGTATATGAGCACATAAATAATAATTATATTTGTTAGGGTTTTCTAATTTAAATAATTAAAATCTTTACTGTGTGCAATTTTGGTAAGATATATGCTATGTAAACAAAAACTTAAAAAATAAGTGTATTTGTTTTTAATATTTTTAAATTAACTACTTTTATCTAAAATGTTTAATTTCCTAACAAAAACATAAATGCTCAAGGTATACAGCATGATGAATTGATCTATCAATCAGGCAAATTCTGCAGTAAAATTTGTCACCTCATTTTTGTGTGAGAAAATGATTATAAATCACGATAAAATTTAATTTTCCATGTTTTGCCTAAATTGTTAACATATTTTACTTGTTTTTGACATTTTTATTTTATTATTTTTTTTGTGTGTGTGTTCACGTATACATGCTTGTTTGTGTACAACATGTGTGTGGAAGTCAGGGTGAATCGGTTCTCTCCTTCCACCATGTTGGTCCCAAGAATTGAGCTCAGGCTGTCAGTCTTTGCAGTGGACGCTTGCACCCTCTTGGCCGTCTGGCCAGTCCTCGTGTGCCTATTTTTAATACAGTGAGATTTATTAAAGTGGCATTTTATTTAGTCATTAGTTTGAAAGATACAAATATGTTGCATATATAGTAGAACTATAGGGTGATATGGTTTCAATGAATTAAAGCTAATATAATTTAAAGTTTTATTTGGAATATAGTTAGAGCTGAAAAACTTCCTTTTTTCCTTATTTAAGTGATTGAACTGATATTTAATTTTTAGAATACTACATTAGTATCTGCAACTCATATCTTAAAATTTGTACATATGTTCTACACATCAAAATTATGTGTATAGAGCCAAATTAACTTGCTGAAATAAGATACATAGCAATTTCTAGTTTTAAATTTAAATGCCTATATATGCCATATATTATTTGTATATGCACACATGACATATACATTCATATACACAGTTCTTTTTTAGAATTATTAATTATGAGACTCTAAAGAGTAAGGTCATTTTTCCAGTGAGTTTAACATATTATTCATATCATTCACATACCATGTATTCATGTGTATGTTGTAGGTGCTGGAGATGAAACTCAGTGTTTCACACATGCTAGTAAAGTGCCCTATCACTGAGTTAGTCCCCTGCCCCAATTTCATTAATTTTTTAAAAACAGATTCACTTTTCGGCTAACTTTGTACCTCTATTAAATAACCTTTTAATTGAAATTATTTAAAATAAATTAAAGGTATATCATTATTGAATTGTGGCATAGATTTTAAAATTATTTTATTTTTTCCTTTTATTGAAAATAGATTTTTTCCTCACATAATGTCATGATTATAGTTTCTCCTCTCTAGTTCCTCCCACCTATCCTCCCCTCTGGATCTACTCCCTTTCTGTCTCTCACTAGAAAACAAACAGGATTCTAAGGGATAGAAATAAAATAAAACACAATAAGATAATATATAATAAAATAAAACAAAACTGACAATTGGAATTGGACAAAATAAATAACAGAAGGAAAAGTGCCCAAGAGAAGGCCCAAGAATCAGAGACTCACATATTCACACACTCGGGAATCCTATAAAAACACTAAAGTACAAGTTTACTGTGTACTGTCTGGCTGTGGGTCTCTGCATCTGTTCCTGTTTGCTGCAGGGGGAAGCCTCTCTGATGATGTCTGAACAAGGCACTTATGAGTATAGCAAAATGTCGTTAGGAGTGCTTTATTCTTTTTTATTTTTTTTAAAGAACGGTAGTATTTAGTTATCCCTAGGTCCCTGGGCTATCTAGACTCAGGTTCTCGGGTCATCCAAGCAGTTTCAGGAATGGGTTCCATCTCATAAAGTGGCCTTAAGTCAAATTAGATATTGGTTGGTTACTCCCACAAGTGTTGTGCCACCATTGCACAAACATATCTTTCATGTAGGACACCATTATAGATTAAAGGGCTTGTGGCTTTGTTGGTGTTCATTAGAGAGAATTATTTCAAAGAACATTCCTAATGCCTGCTTGTTAAAACTTTTTTTCTAGCGTTGAAGTATATAGTGCTTTGGTCATGTTTAAATTAATTTTCTTCAAATTGCTTTTATATTCTGTTTCTTTCCCTACCACATTTAACTTACTAATGAGAAGTTTCAGGTCTGAGTTGGCCACTTGGAGAAGTTGGAATTTCTTTTGGGTTGAAGCTTGACTATTTTCATGAGTAAGTTACATAAATTATAAAGAGCAGGCCATTTACTACTAAATATTGCTAGATCCCTTGGCCTACCAAAACTTCTCAAGGGTTCTCTGAGTCTTGTTGGTTATCATCACAAAATTATAATCAGGGAGATAAGTTTGTGGTAAAAATCTGTTTCTGTAGCAAAGCCTTTTAAAATACTGTCATTTAGTGGTAGAGATGAAGTCCACTTCCTCTCAGTTATGGGGTGTCTTAGTCTAATACTCTAAGGCACACCGCTAAGAAGAGGTTCCTTATTTAAATCATGTTTAACTAACTGTTGTACATGTTTTATTTGCCAGCACGAGATTATCCTTGGACACTCAAAAATAGACGCCCAGAAAAACTTCGAGACTCACTGAAAGAGTTGGAGGTATCTTTCAAAAGGTTTCAAAAATGGGAACAAACAAATCTGCTTTAGAACATCTTTCAACAGATTTAATTTTCATAAAGGACCAGCTCTCCTGGTGATGATGGCTTTGTGAGAGCTTCCCACACAATTGCCTCTTTGTGTGGCTTGTTGATTGCCTTCCTTTTTTTTTTTCCTTGCAAATCAGAAGCACTTTAACTGATAATGACCAAGTGTGTAGCCAACTTCACTCTCTCTTTTTTTGTTGTCCTTCAGGAACTGATGCAAAATAGTCAGTGTGTGCTGAGCAAATGGAAGAACAAATACATCTGTCAGGTAAAATTGTTTGACAAGCTTTCGCAGTGTTTAACCAATGGAGCTGAAAGCTATGTAATAATTGGTATTCTTGTGTTTTGATAGATAATGGGGAAAAAACTTTTCAAGAGTGGCTATTTCATAGTTTGAATTTTAGTCATTCTAGAGTGAATATTAGACAGATTGGCATAGGCCACCACACTGCCTCATTAACTAGTGTGGTTGTACTGACATACTGCAAACACTAATAAGAATCGTTGCAGGCAGTATTTTCCACTTGGGTTTATCTTGGTGTAGTATTAGATATCAACTGGCATATTTTTAAAATGACAATAATACCACAGAACAAAAACATTTTCAGTATAGTAGTCTTATAAACATTTATGAATACCATGCTTATGAAAATGAGCAAGCAAATAAAAGTGAAACCTAATTTAACCAGAGAGTTAGTCTTGCATGTTGACCCTCTAGGCTGTATGTTTTAATGTGGTAGACACTAGTCATATGTGGCTATTTTTAATTTAAGTTAAATTTCAATTCCTTAGCTACAGCTCTCCCCAGTTTAAGTCCCTGGCAGTCAAAGATGCAGATATAAACCATTTCCACGGCAACACGTTCTATTGGACAGCTCTGTGCTCAACATGCCTGGATTTAGAACATAGTCAGGACTTCATAATTAACACACATTGACCACAAAATAAGGGACAGATACATATCTTAGCCTTGCTGATACACTTAAAATACCATTTGTTTGGAAAAATTTTACTTGCTTTTGATAAAAGGATATTAATAGTCATCTGTATACTTATATTGTATCACCACTTCCAATAATTATAATTTATTTTTAGTATCAAATATACTGTTTCAATTGTATTTTTTGTGCTTTTGATTACAATTTTTTTAAATGTGTGACATTCTTGTTTATAGGTTAGGCCATCTTTCTATCCGTAAACCTCCTGACATAAAATTCATAGTAATTACAAGCATATCTTACTCTTCAACCTAGACTATTTTAGTTAATTCTAATTTTCCTCTTAGAAGATTCCATTATTTGTTTTGTCTAAACTGTTCTTCCTTTAGTGATGGAGGTAAACTGTTGCCTTTTCATCGGGCATGGGTTTCTACTTTAAAGACTATTTACAAGGCTGAGTGAATATTTCCCGAACTGTAACACTTCTAAAATTCTCCTTAGGATACTTTTTTAAAAAGATGGCATTGTTTAAAACTGTAACTTATTTGCATAGAAATATGTAATGAGACTTCCAAGCTTGAATATCAGATGTTCTTCAGTAAGTTTCAGATTTAGTTCAGCTTAAACTTGAAGTTCCTAATGCCATTACTCACTGCAAAAACAGGTTCAAAATTATTTGACTGGAGGGTAAGCCTGCCACCTTCATTAAGAGGTGTGTCTCATGGCCTCCACCCTTACCATCACCTGGGGTAAGTTGAAGCATGTCAGGCATTTTAAAAAATGCTGTGGAGCATCCCATTCAGATGATCATTTTTAGATAGATTTCATTGCTTATCATTTAATGGCAAGGTTTTTGTGTGGGTGTCACATGTTACAGAAAGGATATCTTCTTTCATTACTGAATTATTTCAACTCAGAAAAGAAACTTTTTTAAAATAATAGAATATATGCAAAAATTGCTTTTGTAACTTACAATGGAGAGCCATGGTGACTTTGGCTGGTACACCAGTGAGTCTGCTTTGGGTAGTTCTAATGGGTTTGCCTAATTTTATGTTCTATTTTATTTCTGTGATAGATAAGACTTCTAAAATAGACCTTTTACTCTCAGCACATTCTTGATACATTTTCGATAGGTAACTTCTTCAGTGCCCACAGGTCCAAGTCACTCCTTACATCTTTAGGGCCTTTGGGAGACTTCCTAACATTATCTGTCAGGCAAGAGCTTCACTATATCTTTGAAAAATGTGTATGAATTCTATTCCTAAAGATCTCTAATGTCATAGTAAGTTAAAAATACTTTGGTGTTCAAGCTAGAATTTCAGTTTAAGGAAAGGATTTGTTAGTCCTTTTTGCTAAACTTTTATTAGGCTTTGTTAAGTTATACTTGATCATAGTATGTTAAACTCTTTCATCAGTCTCCTCTTATGCGCTATCCAATGTGGCACTAAGACATGGACTAACTAATTGAGCTCTATTAGTGCTTTCCCTAGGCTTTCAGTCCTGACATGGCAGCAGTTGACCTTGAGCTCCAAAGGATCTGCCTGCCACCGTCTTCCCTTGCCTCCATTCTGTACATACACGTGTTGAGCTTCCGAGCATACATAGCCAAGCTTGGCTTCACATGGATACTAGGGATATGAAGTCTGGTCTTCTTTCGTTCAATCAAACACTTCTAATCAGTGAACTATATCCCCAGTCCTGTTCCTGGACATCTTGATGTATCACTTGGGTTCTCGCTCCTTGAATGAGGCCATTTCTCTACTGTGGATTTTTTATAAAGAAATGATAAAATTGGATTTATGAAATTCAGTTTAGTTGAAATCTCTTTAGGGAATCTTTGAAGGGTCCACTTGCTTAGAAATCTTTGAAGAGGTTTCTGCTGACTAAAGGATAAAAGAGGATGTAATCTGAGCTTGGATCTTCATGTCAAATAAGGAGAATTTACAGTTGTCATTCCCAAAGCTTAGTTTATATTATTGATCCCATGATCTATAAGTTGTGAACTGTAAAAAGTAATTTCCCCACTTGTAAATTCAGAAAAATTTACAAATCAAGACTTACCTACATATAAATTTGGGGAATAAAATTGTCTTAGGAAGATTTTATCCCCAAACCATCCCTGTTCCTTGTATGAGATTATTAAAAGCTAAAGATACAATTTTAGAGTTTGGATTTCAGCACCTAGTAAATATACTCTTGTTTTTGTCTTCTTAAACAGTCAGCAATGTATTTAATAATTTCCTGCTTTGACTTTATTAAACCATTTATATAAACTTTTTAAAAGGGAAAAATAGTTTCAGCTAAATACCATTAAATAGTTCCTCACTCTGGTGGAATGTTAAAGTCCATAAAGTATTGTGCCTAGTCATGGTCATATCCACAAATTACTTTGTAATTGGTTAAAAGATATTTTCATTAAGCATAGATGTAATCTTACACACTGACCTTTGTGTTAAAATGTTTGACATATATATATATATGTATATATATGTTTTGACTTATATATATATGTATATATATATATATATATATATATATATATAAAATATATCTATACAATATAATCAGTTTTACTCTGGTTTATGTCTATAATAATTCTACCTTTATAGGTACATTCATAAAACACCAAGAAAAGATAGCTTCCAGTTTTAGTTGCTGTAATGAGTTGATAGGCTACATAAAAATATATTTTTTTCAAGTCTGTCATACATAAACTATGACCTTATGCAACTCATTTTAATCTCAACTTTTTGTTTGTTTTGTTTTCAATATATCCTGACTGCAGTTTTCCTTCCCTCTACTCCTCCTATTCTCCCCTCCCAGGTCCTCTGCATATATATTATGCTTGTTAGCTTGGTGTTTTTGTTGAACTTGTAACAGTGAGAGTGGGGGTGTGAGAGTTTGTGCTAGTCTTATTGTAACTTGTTATGCCCTGTTAGGTTGATATCCCTGGGATGGAGGCGGAATGTTGTCTTAGTTAGAGTTAATATTGCAGTGAAGAGACACCATGATCAGGGCAACTCTTATAAAGGAAAACATTTCATTGGGGCTGGCTTACAGTTTCAGAGCTTTAGTCCATTATTGTCATGGCAGGAAGTGTGTCTGTGTGCAGACAGACATGGTGCTAGAGAAGGAGCTGAGAGTTCTATATCTTGATCTGCAGGCAGCAAAAGGAGACTGTTTATCTCACTGGACATAACTTGAACCTATGAGACCTCTAAGCTTACTCACATGGTGACACACTTCCTCTAACAAGACCACACCTCCTAGTAGTGCCACTTCCTATGGGTCAAGCATTCAAACACATGTGGGTGTGGGGGCCATTCCTATTCAAACCACCACAAGTGGATTTTAACTTTAAAAAAAAGTTTTTAACTAAAATACAATTATATCACTTTGCCTCCTTCCTTTTCTCCTCTAGGCCCTATCAGCTACCCTCTCTCAAACCCTTCCAATGTCACCCCCACTTCAAGTTGATAGCCTCTTTTTCTTTGATTATTATTGATACATACATACATATATGTGTATGTACACAAATATATGACTAGAACTTGCTGAGTCCATTTTTGTTGTTAGTATGCATATGGCTTTAGGGTTGACAACTCTGCATTGGACAACCAATATGGCTGCTCATCTATATTAAAGGCTTATCCTTTTTTCAGTGTCATTTGTTGCAAAGGGGTGGGACCCCATGGGCTTCTCCCCTGTCCATGTTAACATGTCCTTTGATATTGTTGTCGTTTCAGTCTTGTTTTTATTCAGTCATTTCTGGGAGATACTGTTTCACAAGCAAAGTTCCTGGTATTGTGGCTGTTAGAATCTTTCCACCTCCTTTTCTGCAATGTTCCCTGAGTTACAGATGCAGGAGCTGTGACGTAGATGTATCTGTTGGGGCTGGGCTCCTTCAGTCTATTATCTCTACATTGTGTTCAGTTGTAGTTTTCTGTGATGGTCTCCATTTACTGTAAAGAGAGGCATCTTTGATGAGGGATACTAACTACACTTATCTGTACGGTAAGATTAATTTTCCTTCTTATTGTATGTAAAGTAGTGAAATAAAAGCCATGGTGTTATCAGTATAAACAATAGCATTTTATTTATGCACAACCCATCATACCATATTCACTGCCTGCCACCTTGGTAGGGGGTACCATAGTTTAGGTGGAAAGGAAGAAGTCCCATTAAGTCACCAAGGGACTAGTGAGTGCTACATTGTAAACATCAGTAGGAGCCAGAGATGGTACAAACATTAATAAAATCTGAAATGATTAACTGATTACAGAGAAGTTGAAATTTTTCCAGACCTAAGTGGGAATATAAAATTTGGTAA